ATTGGAGAGTTGAGCCGGCTTGAGTTGAACTGTAACATGTTTGCAATACACGGTCCTTTTATGCATGCTTGAGTTGTAGGACACCAATGAAATTCTGTCTTGTAAATGATTATTGCTTTGATATCAGTGACCTTGTCACCAATAGTTACCTTTTTGAAAATAATCTGTGGATTGTCTCATGGTGGTGTCTAAGTGACGTCACATTCAAAGGGTATATTGGATTTGTTTTTACAGCGAGCGCAAGATATTTACATACACCTAACTCGCGCACCCGGTAGGTAATTACCGAGAGACTTTGCAACATCCCCAGACACTTTGCTAGACGCCCCAACGACCGTTGTAGACGCAATAAATTTACATACACTCTCACGTGACAGTTAATCAAAACACCGGACGCGGTATGCCTTTGATGTGTGGGCACGAAGAACGAGGGGTAGTTTGGATATTCCATTGCTTTGTAGTTATAACAATCTGTGTAACACTTGACATTCAACAGCTCTGGCAACTGCCCCATCGGGAATTAGCCTGTAATGGCCTTTTTTCCCCTCATAAATATGCATGAGGCAGATAATGAGCTGTTCTAACTTTTTCTGGGTCAATAGGTTAAATACATGCGTACTTGCTATATTTTGGTTTTGAGCACGCTCAGATGATTTAGATGGAAAGCACATGTTCATGTTCAATCAAAACAACGGTCCGGGGTTTCAGATGGGTTCAACAATTACAACGTGTAAGCGCCCAGTCAAACATTTATCAAACAATGTTTTATTCATTGTTGTAGTCGGACACTTTATTATGTCATGCATAGATATGCTCGTTTATTTACTAATAAATAAATTCTATTTTGAACGTTTCATTAATATAATAAACCTTGTTAATACAAACATGTAATACAACACCCCTAACATATAATGGAATTACCATCGCGAGAACAGTTTAGTTTTTTTCAGTGTAGTTTCTGGATTCAAGTTTGAATTGCTCGCTGACTATAAAATTATTGCTATTATGCCAAAGGGTGTAGACGAAAACACTCGGAAGGAGATTATTCGTCTTTTCTTTGATGGAAATAGTTTGCGAATGATCGCCAAGGAAGTTGGACTAGCGGGGGCAACGGTCCAGGGGATTGTGAAGCATTTCCGTCGCACCGGTTGGATACGTTCCGACAAGAGTAGCGGCCGTCGTCGACTGAAATCTACACAGGAAATCGTTGAGTTTATGGAATGTTGTCTCTTACAGAAACCATCCCTAACGGCAAAGGAAATACGCATGTCTCTCTTGAGGGAAAATATTTGCGTACAGGAAAATTTGCCTTCGGTGCGTATGGTACATCATATAATGAAAAGTGATTTGAATTATTCGTTCAAAAAAATAAGTCAAACTCCTACTGAGCAAGTTACTGAAAGAAATATGGAACGAATATTACAATATATAGACACTGTTTCTCAGCTTGATCCACAAACTTTGCACTTTTTCGACGAGACTGGTGTGAAGAGAACGACTCCAAATCGCAATCATGATTACGGTCACAGTTTACGCGGTCAAAAGGCTGTCGAGTTTCAACGCTATGCTTATGACGTCAATTTTACAGTGAGTCTCTTACACAACGCCCGAGGTGTAAGTAACTTCAACATTTTAGACAGTCCTTCCAATGGACTCGAAATGCTTAATTTTTTTGAAGAGACCATGGAGTTATTCGACGAGAATGGGCAACATGTATTGTCACCAGGCGATACAGTAATAATGGATAATTGTGGTTTTCACCATGGCCGGATAACTGAGCCAGCGCTTCGTGAAATGTTGGCAACAAAAAATGTTACGCTACTTTTTCAACCACCATACTCACCTGAATTTAATTCATGTGAAATGTGTTTTTCTCAAGTGAAGAGAAAATTACGAGAAAATTATATGTTTGCCGTGTTGTTTACCGAGACTGCTATTATTGACGGACTTGCATCAATAACGCCCTTGATGTCGCGCAATTTCTTTCGTTTTTGTGGAATTGCCATAGTCTAGACTAGATAACATTAAAAAAACATACTAAATTTTGATGGTGGAGCCTTATCACAAAACTTACTGAAAAGTGTAAATTGATAAATAAATAAGTTTTTTCTTCAAAAATGTTGTCGATTATTTTTTATATGAGTTGCGTATGGGGTAGGTCTGCCACAAAAATTAACTGTTACAGGGTTTGGGTTGACCAATAGAAACACTGGATGGAGAGATAAAACCGTTGAAATTATTTAAATTCTTTACTTAGTTTGAGGTTAGATCATTGTTGATTATTTTGTTTTCAAAACAATTCGTTTCCCTGGAGTTTAAAATTGCCCCGACAACTCTTCGTCACTGTCATGGGAGGACTTTATTGGAGAGTCTGCAACAACAAAAATACACATTTAATTATACTGTATATTCGACGCTAGTCTCACAGCCTATAACATTAAAATATTGACGAATGTGTTACAGGGTGTAAAAAATAATGAGTATACTCATAAATATAATTATTAAAATATCGGTTGGGCTCGCCTTTTAGCAGTCCATATACAACTTCGCAACTATCAGGTGCGTTCTGCACTCCGGAAAATTCCGCTTCAAATTTCGCCAAAGCCTTACCCACATTTTACCGATATCTGCAGAATAAATCAAGAAAACTACACAAATTGACTCCATTTAGGAATTCCTAACGGTTTGCCCGAACGCACGGTACAGTTGGAGGCGTGGCCTGTTCAGCATTTGTCAACAACCAATCACAAGACTGGTTACGAACCACATTGAGGTCACGACTCGGTTAGTCTTGCTCAACCAGTTGAGCAACTAATATTCTTCAACCTGGTATTTTTTATAGATTTTATTTTTCATTCTTTTCGTCTGTTTTTTCGAGTTTAAAAAATATGAGCTGGCTGGAGCCTTCATCCCTTGTCTATTTCTTACACTAGATACCAGCCGACACCCCCCCCCCCTCACAGGGAGTGCATACAGTTGATCATAGTTCCTGGGCTCCCTGTGCATATACTAGTACTAGTATGTAAAACTATATAAGTAGAAGATTTCTGGGAAAGACTGACTGGGCGCTGTATGGCAAACTGGCAATGGGACATGCCATTATGCGCAAACGCGACATTTTTAATAGGACTGTGTATAAACCCATTGACAACATCTCAACAAACTAACAATCGAAGGAATTTACTTTTAACGTTTCTTGTTAATATTTATTTCCAGTTTTATGTTCGTTTTATATTTCTTCCAAGTGTTACACAGCAATGATTGTTATACCTACAAAGCAATGGAATATTCCAACTACCCCTGTTCCTCGTGCCCACACATCAAAGGCATACCGCGTCCGGTGTTTTGATTAACTGTCACGTGAGAGTGTATGTAACTTTATTGCGTCTACAACGGTCGTTGGGGCGTCTAGCAAAGTGTCTGGGGATGTTGCAAAGTCCCTCGGTAATTAGCTAGCGGGTGCGCGAGTTAGGTGTATGTAAATATCTTGCGCTCGCTGTAAAACTTAAAGTTAAAGCGGGAGGCTCGTCACCTGCGCACGCGCGGGAATCGAGTCCCAACACGTACTGATTGGGCGGCACCTTTGTTCTTGACAACCAACTTCCATTTCAGTGAAAATGATACCGCTGGTCGGGCGCATTAGCGGCGTAGGAGCGAAATACCATAACAGTTTACAGTGACGACTCCTTAAAACAAACATAAAACCTCGTATCAAATATTGAGTATCATGAATATTAAAACTGAGTATAGAGTATATCTGACACGATATGGGTAAATCTATACAAGGAACGAAAAATATGTGGGGTTTTTTGCTTGTCGAGTGGATTCCTCATACAAAAATGTCATAACACCCCTCCCGCTATCTTATAACTCCCTGCACGTCATCAAAATGAAAAATATACTCAAACAC